ATGAGCAAAAAGAGAGGTTTTGGGGGGGGAAAACGTCGCCCCCCGGCACGCAGCAAGGCTGGAGGAGCCAGCACGGAGTGGGATCTGGCAGTGTTGTTCTGGGAGAGGAGCCCAGCAGCGCCTGGCAGCCGGTCCTGCTCCCTGCAGGGATGGATGGAGGCATGGATGGGCTTCACAGGCTGGTTGAAACAGGGGAGATAGAAGTCCTATGGACACGTACAGGATAGGGCTGAAGTGTCTCTGGGTCCTCATGGGTGAGGTGACAAGTGAGGGCTCAGCTTGTGGTGGTGGAGACGTGGGTTCTGCTGCCGGCAGAGGTGATGGAGCGCTGGGGCTGCGCTGCTGGTTGCACCTCCTCAGGCACAGGTTTCCCTGGGGATCCCTGACTAAAGTCCTGGTTGTGATGGGGATCCTGGGAGGAGGATCCAGCCCTGGCAGGGGGTGAACGATCTCTTCTGCCTGTTCAAGCCAAGCGGGATGTTTCTGTCATCTCCTGGTGGAGAGCAGGAACACCAGCCCCTCGTGCCCAAGGGCAAGAGCACCGGCTCTATGCCCAGCACGCCAGTCCCCATTCCGTGCTCCCTCCTTTCCCGGGATTGCTGCCTCTTGGCTGTGCTCTGCTGGCCCCATCTGGCCCACACATGTGAGCTCTGTGCCTCGAGAAGCAAGACCCTTCCCAACGCTCCCCCACTGCCTCATGTCTGGGCCCGCTGAGCTGAGCCTGGAGCGTGGCTGAGCCCCGGTTCTCTCCGCAGGGAATGACATAGCGCTGCGGAAGCTCTGCGAGCTGCAGGCAGGAGAGAAGTGCTGCGTGGTGGGGACCCTCTTCAAGGCCATGCAGCTGCAGCCCTCCATCCTGCAGGAGATCAGCGAGGAGGTAACGAGGGAACATTCCTCCCCCTCCTCCTCTGGGGAACATGCCAACACACACCAGGACCTCAGCTGGCTTCCCATCGCTTCCCTTGTGCTTGCTGTGGCCGAGCAAGTGGGAACTACCTGGGCTTTGACTTGGGGAGCTAGTGGATAATGACCTCTGTGCCCACCCCATCACCCTTAGTGCCACCCTTTGGTGCCAGCTTGGTGTTGTTTTTCCTGCCCTTGGAGTGTTTGGATCCAGTGGGATTGGTGGATCAAACCCTCTTTTCCTGCTCTGGAGGATGAGGGGGGTGTCCAGGGAAGCTTTTCCATCCCCATGCAGCTCACAGGGAGCACATTGGGAAGTTTGGAGCATGAGGGGCGGGATGCTCAGGGTGGTGATTGCAAACATGTTTCCTGAGGGGAGCCAGAGCTCTGTGAGGGCCCTTTGGCATCGCCGAGGCTGTCACAGCCTTCCCTGTGTGTGTCTCCCCCAGCACAACCTGGTGCCACAACCCCCCCTGCCCAAGTACATTGACCCCTCCGACGAGCTGATCCTGGAGGATGAG